TAAGATTTTGCTGATTCTATATGATTAGTTGATTAAACACCTTCTAATTGACTTAAGCGATTTTCAGAACTGAAAGGGGAGAAGTCGTAGACCTAGGCTCACATGAGGTAGATGATTTCGTAATGGAATAGTCTATAGGTTTTTGATTGAAATACGTGCGTGTCGATGACCCGTCCCTTGTTACGAAAAGTTATTGGCATTGGGATAGTTGGCCTATGTTGTATGCTCGAGCTTGTATGCCTATGTTCAATCCCTTGTTACGAAGAGTTATTGGGAGCGCAATGCTAGATGTCTAGGCGAGATTGTCAATCTCGAACCGAACAATGAATTGCCCGTTTTGCTAGAACTTGAATTAATTGTCCCCGACTCCCTAGCTTCTCCATCCTTGTTTTGTTTGCATTTTTAGATAGATTATTATTTTTATATTATTTCTTAGCTGGTAATTATCATATCTCCAATCGTGATTAGAATGTTTAGGTTTTATTTCCTTTTTATGTATGATCGATACCAAAGTTGAATTCTGAACCGCCTTCCTCGTGAGATCGACCCGGGGAACGAATCTTTCGATTCAGTACTTGGTAAAAATAACAATTTGTGCTACAACATCGAAGATAGGCGAACTCATAAGGGCTAGACAAGTCTAGATATATAGAAGATCTGGTCGAGGCGTCAGATGGTAGAGCATAACAGGGGGTGGTCGTTAGATCGACCACCCAGTACTAACAGAATGACCCAGTAGCATGTTTAGATATGGTTGAACCCAAGATCCTTCAAGGAAATCTCCGGCACGTGCGCGAAGGACACACGACACATAATGGTTGGTTCATGACGATAATGGTCTCTGACACCTCCACTACACTACTGTAGCTCTATATATACATCATTAGACTTATGTAAAAGAGAAGGAGATATCAGAATTCTCCTACGTGATATTTTATATACACGCACACCCCTAGTCTCTCTCTCTCTCTCTCTTTCTCAGTTTTCTGTTCGACCTTTATCTTCTTCTCGTTGTTCCACTGGTACCAGTTGAAGAGGTGTTTGGGTAATACAGTAGAAGATCTCGAGTTAGTTGAGACATATAATATTCAACCCTTGAGATCAACCGGAGCCGACGAATCTCAACCCGAAGGCTGAGATCGCACCCCAGCCCGTCGGACCGTCACCGTGACTCAATCGGACCTGACGCAGCCCGCGAAGCGCGACCTGGCCGACCACCCCGATCTGCTCAGCGACCCGACACCACCCACATGACTGCCGATCCCTGCCATCCGTTCGTGTGCTGCTTCCGATCATCCCGAATCCGCCAGATTTAGAAAATTTAAGTCGTAAGTTTTCTACGTCAAACCTTTAGATCTGCGACGTATTGGTTTACTTTTACTATTGAATTCGTGTCTTGTACATAACGATATCTTCATAGATCCCAACAGTTTTTAGAAAATAATCATTAAAAAGAGGATTTGCACCTGCTTCTCGATCGCCAAGAATTATTTTTCGACCAGGAACTGAACCCCCATGGTTTGACCACCTTGTTGATTTCTAAGAAATTCTTGCACAAGAATATAATTTATGTAAATTTGTTGTGCTATCAGATATTGCTCTTTATCATAACTATCTAGTAGTTATTCGAGTTTATCATCAGATGAACTTGAAGAAAAAAATACATACGAAGTACCAAAGTGATTGGGATTCATATTTTTCTTGAAAATGCAAGAGTTAACGAATGAAAATTTTGTGTGAAAATCTTTGTATAAATAGTGATATAGAAATCTACAATTTTAATATAAGCCGTTTAATCTTGATTTTCACAGATACGAATCCTACGGTTGATATGTTTATAAGAAAATCTAAAACTTTTAATCTTAGCTGTTAAATCTTTAGATAAGACACCTATGGTCGATATGTAGATAAGAAAATCTACAACTTGTAATCTTAGCCACTACATCTTGAGATAAGAAGCCTACGAGTGATATGTAGATAAGAAAATCTACAACTTTTAACCTTAGCCATTAAATCGTGAGATAAGAATCCTACAGTTTATATGTAGATAAGAAAATCTAAAATTTTTAATCTTAGCCATTAAATCTTGAGATAAGAATCCTACGGTTGATATGTAGATAAAAATCTACAACTTTTAATCTTAGCCATTAAATTTTGAGATAAGAATTCTACGGTTGATATTTAGATAAGAAAATCTACAACTTGTAATCTTAGCCATTAAATTTTGAGATAAGAATCCTACGGTTGATATGTGGATAAGAAAATCTAAAATTTTTAATCTTAGCCATTAAATCTTGAAAATAAGAATCCTACGGTTGATATATAAATAAGAAAATCTATATCTTTAATCATATCCATTAAATCTTGGAATACGAATTCTACGGTTGATTTGTAGATAAGAACATCTACAGTTTTTAATATTGGCCATCAAATCTTGAGATAAAAATCTTACGGTTAATATGTAGATAAAAAAATCTACAACTTTTAATCTTAGCCATTAAATCTTGAGATTAAAATCCTACGACTGATATGTAGATAAGAAAATCTACAACTTTTAATCTTAGCCATTAAATCTTGAGATAAGAATCCTACGGTTGATACGTAGATAAGAAAATCTCAACTTTTAATCTTAGCCATTAAATCTAAAAATCTTGAGATAAGAATCCTACAGTTGATATGTAGATAAGAAAATCTACAACTTTTAATCTTAGCCATTAAATATTGAGATAAGAGTTCTACGGTTGATATTGTAGATAAGGTAATCCACAACTGTAAATCTTAGCCGTTAAATCAGCTTTTCCTATCACGAATCTCAACCGTACAATTCTTATCAATTGAAATGAAATACACTATAAATACACAACATGGTGAGGTAAAATTTTGTACCACCAAAATATAATTTTAGCATTTTCTAATTTATATTTTAAATCCATTTTCTTGTAGTAATTTCTCTTATGGTTCCAACTATACTGTGAATGAAGATCAACACCTATGTCAGTCTTATAAGGAAATTTCTCAAGATCCAGATGTGGATATATCAAAGTAGAGATCAATTATGGCTTCATGTGACGAACAAGTATAATTCTACAAACCCCAATCCAATCTGGTCTGATCGTCCAATAAGATCGATCCAATGTCGCATGAAAATGCAAACATCAGTGGAGGTACTGAACATGATGTGGTAAGAAATTTTACAAGCATTATTTATTTATATTCGTAATAAACTTTAATATTTTCTAATGCTATTTATTTTAACATTGTAAATAGAGTGCGAATGTACTTTATTCGCAAAACACAAAAAAAAAAAAGAATAAACCATTCAAATACGAGCATGTGTGGAATATTATGAAAGATTTTACATTGTTTGAGTGCACATCAACCAGGCGAAACACTTTATTATCTCAACCGCAATCAAATGCACAACACGAGTCTCTAATTTCACCTAATTCATAACTATCTAATTTTTCTATTAATTTAAGCGATAAAAATGCTAGTGGTGGTTCATCATCACAACGACCATTCGGTATTAGAAAATCAAAATTTAAGAGAAAACATGAAGAAGACGTATCTGCACTTATAAAAACAAAGAAAAAGAAAAATAAAAAATTTAGAGAGATGATAATGAGCTCAACAATGAAGAGAGATCACGAGAGTGAGATGATGAGACGAAAAATTGAAATCCAAAAACAAAAAAATGAATTAAGAAAACAATTTGTTGAGACTACCAAATGGACAGAGGAAAATAAAATTTTAATGATGGATTTGGAGTCCATACAAGATAACAGTCGTCGTGAATATTTTAAAAATGAGCAAGAACAAATTATGAGAAAACGATAAGGGTGGCAGTCATATCACCAGCCAGCAACACTTTTGGTTCTTTCAGTTCGTTTTTTCAAGATCTTGGCGGGTCTGGAAGTGGTTTGGGAGAATACTAGAATAATTCATGTGTTCCTTTGATTTTTATGTCATCTTTAATTAATGTTATATTTATATGTGTATTTTAAGTCATTTTTAATATGTTGTTTTTATTTGTGTTCTATGATTTATGTGTATTGTAAACTTTTAATTTTAGTGAATAAAGTTGTTTGAATGTGTTAAAGTTTTATCCATATGGTGTCAGTTTAATATTAAAAAATGTATAATAAAATTCTAATACATCAATAAATAAAAAGCACAAAATTATTTAGCATAAAAAATACATTGCACAAATTATTTAGCCTAAAAAATATATTTAATAATTCACATTATACAAAAATTTATCAATAATAATACACAAAAATACAAAAAAAAAAATAAATAAATAAAAATTGTAGCGATAAACAACAGTGTTGCGCTACATATGGCGCAACACTATTCACCACTTTCATCTGGCGCAGCGGAGGTAGTCTTATAGGTTTATACACCAAATTATTTATTTGCAAATTCTAAATAAATAATTTGTTGTATAGAAATATTTAATTGATGGGGAAGACAACATAAATATTGTGTTCTAAATAAGCACACAATGCTCTCTCAATTCTCGTGATCTAAGCTATTTGTTCCCTCCTAACCATCTCTTGGTATAGCATAAATCTGACGGGAAACACGGCATACGGTAATTGGATGAGAATGACTAATTTATACTATTGAAGTAGATTTAGATGTGATATGTCCATCAATTTTTCATATTAATGACTTAGATTTGTTTGACCATTAAATAAAAGCATAGTCCAATAAAATCATTAATTTTGAGTCCAATGCTTTCGGACCAGAGTTTTATGAAGAATTCTTAAAGACGAAATGAATGTAAGATTGAAATGGAGAGAATTTGTTAGTAGTAGCAGTGTGGTGTTTAGAAGGACGAAACAAATAAATAATTTGTTGGAACAAGAAAAGCGATAGAGGCAGAAGTAATTTAGGCAAAATATAATATAAGTTGGAGTGGGTGATTTGGGGCATCTAAAGCAAGAATGAAATTAAACTCTGTCTCTCTGTAACTAAAACTAATTAATGAGAATGTTTCACCAAGCCTTGAGTGGGTAATCATCAACGCAGTCCATCCACGGGTTGTCCGATTCGAGAGTGGAATCAGTGAGCCATTTCCAAACGAGGCTCCCAACTTTAAAGCCCGTACCGAACGCCAGCATCCACATCCTATCCCCCTTTTTAGCCCTCTTCTTAGCCTCGAAATAGGCGAGCTCGTAAAACACAAGGCTGCTGGACGTGTTCCCAAAGCGGTTGAGGCTCATCCGTGCTGGCTCCGTGACCTCGTCACTGAGCCCCAGGACGCGACCCACGTTCTCGATCACCGCCTTACCCCCCGTGTGGATGCACATGTGCTCAAAGGCCCTGCTGAAGTCCGGCACTGCACCTACACCTGCACCTTTCTTTGAGTATACGTACTGCGCCAGCACACTCAGAGGCAGCACTCTGGGCGCCAGTACCCGTATGTGCTGCCTCAGATGGACCCCAGCCACACGAATTAAGTCCTTGGTCAGGGAAATTCCGGTTCTGCCTTCGGAGTCCTCCTCCTGGTAGGCGGCCCTGTAGGCGCTGTCGTCCCACCCGTGGTGCGTGCGGACCGAGTCCACCAGCTCCATCTTGGCGACCGCTCGGTGCTCCCCGTGGCTGCTCACGATGGCAGCCGCGCACCCCACCCGGAAGATGCAGTTGCTCACCAGCATCGCCCGGCTCTCACCCCCGTACCAGTTCAGGGTGATGCTCTCCGTCACCACCACCAGGGCGACTCGGGCCTTGCGGCCGCCGCGCACAACCCTAGCTGCCGTGTCCACGGCTATGGCGCCGGAGCTGCAGCCCATGCCGCTCAGGTCGTAGGTTTTGACGTCGGATCTGAGATTGTAGCGGTTGACGATGAGGGAGGAGAGGGATGGGGATGGGGAGAAGCTGCCGCAGGCCACCACCACGGCGTCGATTTCGAGAGGGTCCATTCGGGTTTTTGCGAGGAGGCCGTCCACGGTGGCGGAGATCCCCTCCTCGGCCTCCCGGGAGGCGTGTTTGAGGGTGGGGGTACCGCCGTCCTCGAAGATGAAGGGCGGCGCGTAGGTCCGCTCGCCGAGGCCGGACTTGAGGTAGATGCCGCGCATGAACTCGACGGCGGCTGGTGGGAAGCCAGACTGGCGGCGGAGGAAGGACTCAGCTGCCTGGAAGGAGCACCTGCGTTGGGGCGGCGGCTTGTAGCAGGAGTAGTTGAGGAGGAAGACGGGCCGGCGGCGGCGGCGGTTGAGGAGGAAAATGAAGAGAAGGAGGAGGGCGGCGGCGGCGGGTGGAGAGAGGCGGAGGTTGACGGGGAAAGAGGAGAAGAGGAGGGTGATGAGGGCAAGTGCGAGCATTGAAATTTTCAGCGTTGTTTGGATGTGTGCCAATAATTCTTTCATTTTCGTTTTCATTTTCCTTTCTTTCCTACAAGAAATGGTTTTAATTCTGAAAATCAATGATATGATGTGTTTGTGTCTCTTCTTATATATATATATATAATATATGGGTGACAGACAGGTCAATATAAATTTTTTTTAATGTCGTTTGGTATTGAAAATTACGAAATGAGCTAAGATTGCAGTTAATTAATTAAATGAATGTAGTGTGAGTAGGCTGTTAGTAATAAATGTAAATTACTGAGTTGTAGCTGTGACTGTGATGGACGTTTTCATTTCCCATTACATTTTTCACTAGTACAACACTAGTGTATTATACGTACTTCCTGAAAAATTATTTTTAAATTTTGAAATTAATGAGAAATTTTTTTAAATTTTATTTACTTTTTCACAAAAAAATATATGTTATTATATACTTTAGAATGACACTTGTTAGTTGTGCGATTTCCATGTTTTACATTATAATAATTTTATAACTTATATCATATAACTACTTAAAATATAAATATATCAATTGATAAATAACTTTATTTTTCAAATTAATATTAAAAATAATTTTATTATTGTTATAAAAATAAATATAATACATTTAAAATTCAATTGGTATAATAAGAAATGAATTAAAATGCAATTAATACATGTAACATGACCTTAAATAATCAACATATTTATAGATACATTGGAAGTAAATTAAAATTTACCAAAGTCTAATAACGAGGCATGTAATTTTGCCACATAGGATTCCAAAACATGCGAGTCTGCCACTTAAGCTCAGCCCGTTTTGAATTACCGGATTTCTGTTAATTATGTTTATTCAAGTCTACTCCAACCCAAAATTTATGAATTTATCACTTTATAAATAGAGTAAAATACATTTTTCGTCCTGTATGTTTACCCCTCTAAACATTTTAATCCTCTTCGAATTGCGTTTTTTATTTTCGTCCCGTATGTTTGAAAAAAGGTTATAGAAAGGTCCTTTTCGCAATAAAAAGGTCCTTTATGGTTTTGCAATAAGGTGTTCCGATTTCATCCCTTATGTATGAAAAAGACCTTTTTGTAACCTTTTTTCAAACATACGGGACGAAAATGAAAAACGCAATTCGAAGAGGACTAAAATGTTTGGAGGGGTAAACATACAGGACGAAAAATGCATTGTACTCTTATAAATACTAGTAAATGCTTGTGTGGAACATTTTTTTGAATCAATTTTCAAAAAGGAATTAGGATAATGATCTTTTCAAGCCTTAAGACTATAAAGAAAAATGACTTATCTTGCGAAAAGTAAATAGGAAAAGAATAGTAAGTACATCCTGTGCTCAGTCAAATTCAACGGTTATTGATGTTCACACAAACAGTTCTTCCAATAATATTATTAGAGCGTATCTAACACGACACCCTTTAGAGAAAAAACTATAGTATATGTCAACGTCTAAAGTTTAGACATCGTTATTATATTTATCATTACATATTTATTTATCATTACATCTTCAACAGGCCACTAATGAGAGGAAAAATATATATGACACATCTAAATTGTAGAGGTTGGTTGCCAATTGTAGACGTTGCCATTATTCGCTCCGGTGGCAGCTTTCTTATGTCATCTCAAGTGTATTGACGTCTAACATTTAAAATTTTCTGTCACACGGTAATAGATAATTAAATGTGAAAATATCTATTTTTACCTCGTTTTGAAGTTTTGTTAAGTTTTTTACACCACCCAATAAAAAGCTAAGAGGGTGATTGTTTACAAAATATTTCACCTGAAATATTTTCAACTCAAAATCTAACTCAACTTTAACTCAACCCCACTATCTTTAATATTATTCATATAATTAAATAATACAAACCAATCATTCTTACACATCACATCAACTTTAATTCACTATTCATCCACTCACATAATTTTAACTACCAATCATTTCCAATCATTTATCTCCTACTTTATATCAAATCAATTTTAATCATTTTATTTTAAATATTATTTTAATATATTTTTTAAATACCACTAATAATTAACCACACTACTTTTTCAACTTTAACCATAGTTAACCAAAATGAAATATTTTGTATGAAATATTTTATAAGGGCATGATTGTTTACGAAATAATTTGTTCAAAATGAGTTATTTTGGTTAACCCTAGTTAAATTTGAAAAAGTAGTATAGTTAGGTGTTAGTAGAATTTTAAGAATATATTAAAATAATATTTAAAATAAAATGTTTAAAATTGATTTGATGTAAAAGTAAGAGATAAATGATTAGAAATGATTGGAAATGATAGGTAGTTAAAAATACGTGAGTGGATGAATAGTGAATTAAAGTTGATGTGATGTGTAAGAATGATTGATTTGTATTATTTAATTATATGAATAATATTAAAGATAGTGGGGTTGAGTTAAAGTTGAGTTAAATTTTAAGTTGAAATAAAAGTGAGTAAATTAATCCATAGACAATCAAGCCCTAAGTTTTTCACTCCGAAAAGTGCGAAGGTTATGCGAAAATTGTCGCATATTCATCGCATAACTGTCCATATGCGAAGGTTATGCGAAAACTGTAGCATATCAATTGCATTACTGTGCGAAGGTCATGCGAAAACTGTCGCATATTCATCGCATAACTGTCCATATGCGAAGGTTATGCGAAAAACTGTCGCATATCAATTGCATAACTGTGCGAAAGCATTGTGCGATAAATATGCAACAGTTATGCAATTGATGTGCGAGAGTTATGCGACAGTTTTTCGCATAACCTTCGCATACGGACAGTTGTGCGATGAATATGCGACAGTTTTCGCATAACATTCGCACTTTTTGGGGTAAAAAACTTAGTTTTTTATTGAGCGGTGTGAAAAACTTAATTTGTCTTTGTTATGGGGTGAAAAAGATTTTTTCCCTAATTAAATTGTGAATGAACATATGAGAGTAATTTTTACAACTAAATTATATAATTGTTGGTTACCATATGTAATGAACAAAAAATTTTATGGAGTCATCGGATGGTTTTCTTATGGAGTCATCAATCACTTAATGTATTGACACATGTTCTAAGTTTATTTATTGTAGGATACGTGTCAATACAAGATTTGTAAATAATTGTGGATGACTCATGTAACACTCCGCCTAAACTTACTAAAATCAGAGTAAATTTTTCGCGCTATAAAAGGAAAACTCTATTTTAATTTTCGAAAACTCATATTAATTTTTTGAAAATACTTTAACTTTAATATGCGGGATGCTACTAAACTTTAATCTTAAATCTTTAATCTTTAATATCTTTAAACTTCTATGCATGCAACCGAGTACAATTCATTACTCTGAACATCTCAGGATTTAAGCATGCATAGACTGAAATTCTAGGTACTGAAATATTGAGTGCGGAAGCAAATGTAGCATGCATCAACAAAGCATAATAGCTCAAACATGTTAAAATATACATGACAGGTTTACTAAAAATATCTTTGCTATGACCACCACCACATCATCGGCTCACGCTCCACGCTCGACACCGTCACCTGAAAAATGGTTAGTGGGGGGCGTGAGCATAAATAATTCACGTGCTCCGCCGGAACCAGCACTGAAATATACAGCTAATATAATAACATATCATGACATCGCCATATATGCAAGTACTTACTGGGTCGGCAGAAAACGATATGAAGATGAACATTTTACTAACAGATTAGGCATTCATCCAATAAACACTTAAATCGGCAAACTATCTGAAGCTGCTACTTAGCTGACTGTCTATAATTTCTGCTCGACTTGGTAACTATAGCTGCTACTCAACTTACTAACTATAATTGCTGCTCAACTGACTAACTATAAATGTTGCTCGGCTGACTGACTATATCTGCAACATCACGAACTAAATGAACCTCTGGTATGATAAACACATCGCGAACCTAAGCATACATCTAATATGATAAAAACACGTCAAATCTTAAGCAACATAAAAACACATCACAACCTAAGCATACATCTAATATGATAGAACACATCACAAAAGCGTATAAATAATTGTACTGTCTATAACGGCTGCTCAACTGGCTATCTATAATTACTGCTCAACTGACTGCTTAACTGGCGAGAAGGACACTTGGTCTTCACGCTCGCGATAAGCAACTGTATGACCTAATCTGTAGGTCGTTGCCACTTACTAGGGCAAAACTAACTCTTATACACTTCTAAGGTTGGAGCTTAACTCACAACTGCACTAGAGTCCTTGATACTAACTGGGGATTTGAAACACTTGGTTATGACGAAACTTATCTCTAGATCAATGCCCCTTAGGAAAGAATTATTCTAAGATCATCTGAAATTAGACTTGACTCAAGGCTGCTCTAGGGTTCTTAATTCACTTAACACAAAGCTGCACTAGAATTCTTATCTCATCTTAACTAGCATTCGATTCACCTAGCTAGAAAGGATATACTCGCTAGGTAATTGCCCCTATTCGGGCGGAATCTCACATACATACCTCAACCATAATATTGGGATTATAGAAGATGTAATACCCAGTACAGGGTCCCCACCTGATATGCTGAAATGCAGGTGCTGAATGGTTTGCAACTGTTGGAGGCTCCACTCTCCACAAGCTACAAAATATATAAGCACAAAATATATTTTAAGTACCTATCTTAAACTAAAAACTCGAATTATATTATCTGAGCTGTCTAGGTTCGCTCACTCGACTTTAAAATCATTTTAGGGATTTACGAGTTGATTTTGAAAATTTATTGTCTTTGAGGCATACTAGAGTTCTCTGAAATATTTCTAAGTCTGAAACTAAAATCTGACTTAAATCCAAAATATATCTGGATCTAAAATCTATCTGAAATCTTAACTATATCTGAAATCTTAAATATATCTGAAATCCTATTCCGACTGAATCTGAAATTTATCTGAGATTCTATTTGGAATATATCTCGAACCTTCCGGACTGACCGGACCGGTTCGACTGA